CTACGCATTCCAGGAAAGAACCTGGAGAAAGTGGACCACTCAAACGGCGACAAGTGTAAATAAGCACGATGGGCACAAGGAACAAAGGACGAAGTCACTCACCAGAAGGAGTCCAGACTGATCGTACAACCCCACGCTGGCACAGTGGATGAAGACGTAATCATCATCTTCGGAGCGGTCGAATAACGACATTGGGGAATCGATCGGAGAGCGACCACATCCTCGAGAGACTAGGTTAAACCGGCAGGAGCCGTAATCCCTGCGAGAAGCACGAAAGGCATACAACACCATTTCTCCGGTAACGGCTATCCCGAAAAGATCGAGAACCTCGTTCAGGCCCTTTAGTGCACCTAAGTGCGAAGCCCAAAGGCGTTGATTAAGCCCCACAACTGCAACCCCAGTTGACTAGGGGCAAGGGTCAGAAACCGATAAACGTCGATCATGAGCTAAGACAGGTTCCATTAGAAACCAAAGGCGGTGAAGGACAAGAAAATGGTCATGTACCCCGTCGGTGGGTTTGTAGAGGTAGATTCGGGTCCGGGGGCAAGCTCCAGTGTAGGATGCATCACAGACATCTCAAAATATTGTGACTGAAGGGAAGAGCCGCCGTTAGAAGAGTCACTGGAAGAAGACATATTAACAGAAGAAGATGAAAAAACGAAGAGACGCGAAATAGCAGAAGGGGCGAGTAAGAAGAATTTAGGATGAGAGAAAAAAGAAACATAGCAATGAACCATTTATAGGAGGAATCGTCGTAATGGAAGTTAGAGAGACGCCCACCAAAATAGGCCATGTGGACGGTTGAAAGAGAGAGTGGGGTTAAAATAGCCAAAGACCCACTTGAGGAGAGAGGCAAAGCGGCAGAGAAAGAGTACCCTCCGAGGAGCTTGAAAATAATTGTATAAAGTCGGGAGGCACATGTAAGGCATGCGTGGACAGTAATGATGAAAGCATATGAATAATTTAAACGTATCGGAGAGCGAATTGAGAACAACGAGATATAGACACGAGGGAGAAGATGAACAAGGCGGGGGAATTTATCCAAGAAGGATAATAGCAACAAAGGCCTCGTGGGCCCAACAAGATGTAACCAAAGGAGAAGCCAATCAGATGGATCTGAAGACGCAAAGGTCAAGGGACCACAGGAAGGATCGGCCCACTCATGACCCAGCAGCGACGGGAAGGCCTCAACCAGAGAAAGAACTTCCCTAGCAAAGGAAAAATCCTTGGGGGAGATCAAACCTCAAGGGAAAAGGAATTCCTGGAAAGATGAAAGGCGAAGGAGATAGTGTAGGCCTGGCAGAGGAATTGGAGAGGAGAATCAGACACAGAGGAGGAAATGGTGAAGTCCCCTGGCGAAGGAGAAACATAAGAAGAAAGAAAAATTACAAAGAGGAATTAATCAGAGAAATAAAAAAAGGAAGTTCTCCCACTTAATTTTCTCGCCACCAAATGTGATTCTCCGACTCTCCTGGAGAAAAATTGCTTTGACATTCAGGGTGTTTACCCCGACAAGGCCAGCGCAGTAGAGGATTAGCCTGTCTATTGATACCATGTCTTTGGAAATGATCTAACCACCTGGGGGCATGCTGCTCTGTGGACAATATAACCGTCCACTAGGAATCTTGTCGGAATCGCATCCCTCAGCCTAGGACTGGTTCTCTTTGCAGATCGATATGCCAGTTTTGGTGTGCTTCGTGGTGGATGGCTCTCCCTTTAAGAACCAGATATTGCCAGGCTGGCAGGACGACACCCCCTCTGGAACCTGACTGACGACCAGGCATTGTACCATTTATGGTACGAGTCCATGACTCAAGGTCACTTTGCCCACGATAGGTGACTCAGGCATCGTATCCTTTGTGACCTACGATCCCAGGTCATTTCACTCCCGGTGTCTGACTCAGGAAACACGTCTTTCGTTTTACAATGCCACATGTTAGACTTTATAAACAGTCCTTCGGCCTTGACCTTCTAGGGTCGACAGAGACTCAAGAAAATGAAAGAAAGCTTGCGAAAGACTCTTGTAAAAGTAAATAAAGCAAAATGGAAACATTACTAAAGTTCTCGACTAAATTTAAAGGAAATATAACTAATAGAGACCTTAAGACAAATTCTGCAAAACAAAGAGAGGGAAACTCGTTAGTTTAAAATATAATTAAACCAAACACTCACCTTGGTGTCGTTTTTACACTTGGTCCGCTTGTAGCTTCAATGGAGAAGATCATGCGAGCTCCTTGAGTCTTTATTAGTGGGCATTCAACAGCTGGTGTAGACTTGATGCTTGTATCGCCTTGATCTTGATCTTCAAGCTTTAGTTCTTCCTCACTCTGGTAATTTTCCTTTATGAATAGCATCTTGTCCTCAGTTAAACTCATTGCTACTTGGTTAAGAAGCGGCTGATCAAGGCCGAGTTGATCAATGCCTTTGGTGATGTCTTCCAAGCTGCTTTGGTTGATCAGGGTGTCCATGGCATTGTTGAACTCTTCTCTGAGCTTTCTTAGTCCTGATCTTGTCCTTGGAGGATTCTTCATGGTTGGAAAAGTATCTTTAGAGGCCATGTCCTCATCATTCTCTCCCTCTTGAGAAACTTCTGGCCTCAGAACTGTTTCACCTGCATGAAAAGGGGAGAGATCAACAACATTGAAATTCGGTGAAATGTGTAACTCACCTGGTAAGTCTAGCTTGTAGGCATTGTTGCTGATGCATTCTAAGACTTTAAAGGGTCCATTGACACGAGGTGTAAGCTTTGATTTCCTCTGGTTTGGGAACCTCTCCAGCCTCATATGGATCCAAACCCAATCTCCCGGTTCAAAAATGAGCTCCTTGCGGTTCTTGTCAGCTTGCTGCTTGTATTGGGCAGTCTTCTTTCCCAAGTTATCCTTTGTCTTTTGATGGAGCTTCTTGATGAGCTCGGCTTTGTTTTCCCCATCTTGGTTGGTGAACGCTAGTGGCGGTAATGGCTTTAGATCAAGAGGTGTTTCCGGCTTAAATCCATACACAATCTCAAAAGGTGATAGCTTAGTTCTCGAATGGGTGGCATGGTTATAAGCAAATTCAACATAAGGAATGCAATCTAGCCAATTCTTTAAATTGTTACTGACTGTGGCCCTCAAAAGGGTGGACAAGGTGCGGTTCACCATCTCAGTTTGTCCATCGGTCTGAGGGTGACAAGTGGTGTAGAAAAGCAACTTGGTGCCGAGCTTCCTCCACAACGTTCTCCAGAAATGACTCAGGAATTTGGCGTCTCGGTCGGATACAATGGTGCGAGGTAAACCATGTAGGCGTACCACTTCTTTGAAGAACAGGTCAGCAGTTTGTGATGCATCATTTGTTTTGGCACAAGGGATGAAGTGTGCCATCTTTGAGAACCGATCCACCACCACAAAGATTGAATCCCTGTTTCTTATCTTTGGCAATCCTAAAACAAATTCCATAGATATATCCACCCAAGGCTTGTTAGGAATTGGCAAAGGCATATAGAGTCCATAGGGGTGTGACCTGGACTTGGTTTTAAGGCATGTGATACATCTCGAGCAAAACCGCTCCACGTCTCTCTTGAGGTGCGGCCAGAAGAAATGTTCAACGAGAACACTTAGAGTCTTGTCCACTCCAAAATGTCCCATCAAGCCTCCTCCATGAGATTCTTTCATTAAGAGTTGTCTCATTGAACCCTGCGGGATACACAAACGTTTATCTCTGAACAGAAAGCCATCATGCAAGTAAAATAAACCAAATACTCCCTTTTGGCATTCTCTGAAGATGTCACCAAAGTTGGGATCAACCTCATCGTTCTTCTTGATGTGCTCAAACCCCATTACTTTTGCCTCTATAGTGTTGAAAGCGTGTATCTTCTAGACAGGGCATCGGCGACTATGATCTCTTTTTCCTTCTTGTATTTGATTATATAGGGAAAATCTGATACAAACTCTAGCCATCTAGCATGCCTCCTCTTAAGTGTTGTTTGGCCTCTCAGATGCTTGAGTGTCTCATGATCAGTGTGTATGATGAATTCTTTGGCCAACAAGTAATGTTGTCAAGTCTCTAAAGATCGCACCAATGCATACAACTCCTTGTCGTAGGTGGGATAGTTCAGGGCAGCTCCACTTAGCTTCTCACTGAAGTAAGCCACGGGTCTACCTCCTTGAGCGAGCACAGCTCCAATACCTAAACCTGAGGCATCACACTCAATCTCAAAGGTTTTATCAAAATTAGGTCAAATTAAAACTGGTGCATGGGTTAAAGGATCTTTGAGAGTTTGAAATGCTTCCTCTTGCGCTGGTCCCCATGTGAACGCCACATCCTTTTAATACAGCTGTGAGAGGAGCGGCCAAGGTGCTAAAATCCTTAACAAAACGCCGGTAAAAACTTGCTAGCCCATGGAAACTCCAAACATGTCCAATGCTTGTTGGGGTAGGCCACAATTGTATTGCTCTCAATTTATCCTGATCCACCTGTAGACCCTGTGAACTCACCACAAATCCTAAAAACACAAGCTCATTAGTGCAAAATGTGTACTACTTGAGGTTTGCATAAATACCTTCTTTGCGAAGAGTCTCTAGAACTTGCTCAAGGTGTTGTATATGGTCAGTAAGACACTTGCTGTAAATAATATATCATCAAAATATACTACTACGAACTTACTGATGTATGCCTTTAAAACATGATTCATGAGCCGCATGAATGTACTTGGGGCATTGGTGAGGTCGAATGGCATAACTAGCCATTCATATAGACCTTGCTTGGTCTTGAAGGCTGTTTTCCACTCATCTCCTTCCTTCATTCTCACCTGATGGTAACCACTTCGGAGATCCACCTTAGAAAAGATCGTTGAGCCATGTAACTCGTCCAGCATGTCATCTAGTCTCGGTATGGGATGGCAATACTTGATGGTGATGTTATTTATGGCCCTACAATCTACACACATTCTGCATGTACCATCTTTCTTGGGAACTAGCATAACAGGCACATCACACGGGTTAAGGCTCTCCCTGATGTAGCCTTTAGACATGAGGTCTTGAATCTGTTTCTCTAACTCCTTCGGTGGGGTTCATGCGATAAGCTCCACGGTTTGGTAATGCAGCCCCTGGCACCAGGTCAATCTGATGCTCTATTCCCCTTATAGACTGTAATCCAGCTGGTATCTCATCGGGGAACACGTCTTTGAACCTGTCTAACAAAGAAGATATCTCGGGTGGGAGCTCTAACTCATGAGAACCTGTAGGCAATCCTTCTTTAAAGATCATTAGTAGCACAGGCGTGTTATGTTGTAAAGCTTTAGAGACCGTAGTAGGAGTAATGAACAAGTTAGTTCTACTTACCTTGGAGTCTTTAGCAAATTGCATTTGCATTTCATGAACCTCCATAGGCGAGAGTGGTGCTAGCTGGAAGTTTCTCTTATCATGAGTGAACGAGTAATGGTTTGTTCTACCATTATGCATCGATTCTTTGTCAAACTGCCATGGCCTCCCTAATAGTAAGTGGCCCACTTGCATGGGGACAACATCACACACCACTCGGTCATTGTATTTGCCCACGCTGAAAGGTATGGTGACTTGCTCAGAGATTCTCAGCTCGGTGTCATCGTTGAGCCACCTAAGTCGGTATGGTTTTGGGTGCTTGGTCGTCTCAAGATCTAATTTCTCAACCATGGACTTACTAGCAACGTTAGTGCAAGAGCCCCCATCTATAATGAGACTACATACCTTGCCATTCACAGTACATCGTGTGTGAAAGATGTTTTCTCTTTGGACCATCTCTGGATCTATTAGGGCACTCAAAACTCTTCTGATGACTAGCATTTCTCCTATATCCGGGTATTCTATCTCGTCTTCTTGATCTGCTGGCTCCTCATCATCGGGCTCATCCGGTTGGGGTTAAGATCATGGTCCTTTGGTTTGGACACTGTCTCGCCATATGGCCTCGCCCCTGACACTTAAAACAAATGACATATCTAGCCCATAAAGTGCTAGGAAGCTTACCTGTGTCTGGCCGAGACAGCTTAGAGTTGTCTTTGGAATTGTCATATGTTGTTTTCTTGAACCGTGAATCATTCTCTAGGGATTTTCCTTTGTCAAACACCTTTGGTGGCTGTGATGTCCAAGTGTTGCTGTTCCTGATTCGGTTAGTGGCAGTAGTCTTGCGTTTGATGTGTTGTTCCACTTGAATAAATAGATGCAAGAGATCACTCATGTCGTGATATGGCTGCCGCTCCACCTTTCTAGCTATTCGGTCTTATAGTCCATCAAGAAGCTGGGCCATGAGAGTCTCCTCAGTGTCAGTTAGCTCGAACCGGTTTCTTAGCTGCTCAAACTCCTCAAAATACTCCTCAACGGACCTGTTTCCTTGCACCAACTTCCGAAACTTCTTTTGTAAGTCTCTCTGAAAATGTGGCACATACCTCTTTCTCAAGTAGAATTTCATGGCATCACAACTAGTGATCTGCTCATAGCGGTGTCTCCGCCTTTCAGACACGTCTCGATACCACCAGGATAGAGCATGGTCCGTTAGCTGAGCCGCAGCCAAAGACACCTTCTTCTGATCATTGTATGAGTAGTAATCAAAGATGTACTCCATCCTACGCTCCCACTCCAAGTAAGCTTCAGGGTTTACCCTGCCAGCAAAAGTAGGTGCCATTAGCTTAACATCATGTTGGTTTTGTCTATTACCTTCATCATCTCGGTGGCGGCCTCGGTTGAAGATCTCTTCTTCTCTGACGCGGCCTCGGTGAATGGGGTCTCTCCTCCTTTGGTTTTGTTGCAAGTCAGGAGGATCGCCTTCCGAGGGTTTGGGTCCTTGTCTTCTAGTTCAGGCATTTCTTCATCGTCTTGCTGGGCGTTCTGTTGTTGCTGAACGGGTATGGGTCGGGCAGGCTCTCGTCTTGGTACCTCCAGCCGGCCACTCTCTCCTCCATACGGCCTAGTTGTGCGGCCATGTCTTGCCTCATCGTGGCAATAGCTTGCAAGATGGTATCTTGAGGTGCTATGGGGGGAATCTCCATGGCTGAAATCGCTCAAAACACACAAGGAAATCAAACGCAACTGATGTTCTAAGGATTTAAGAACTTAAAACTAGATGCAAATAATAGATGAAACTAACTTTTCTTTTTAGGGTTTTCTTTGCGAGCAATTTAACTAGACGGTATGAGGCAAGACTAACTAGATTCAGAATGAAACTTTTTATGGGTTTCCGATTGTTATGAATGACAAACTAATGCAAAATAACACGAGATGATTCTTTTTTTTTTGACAGATTAAACTAGACAATGATAACAAGCATGAAAAAAAAAACTTGGAAAACAAGTAATTCGATATGGAATAGATATCACCTGGCTAGAACCTTTCGGCTCTGATACCAAACTGATATAAGATCGGGGTGGAAGTGAGGGTGGATCCAAGTGATTGGCCGAGAGGCTCTCATCACTTAGAGGAGATATGATCGGGTGTGGAAAGGCGGAACCTGAGTAACTGGCCGAGAGGCTCTCTTTACTTAGATTGGTGAATGAATGAAGAACAAAGGACCAAGGGATCGATGTGACGCCACACAGCTGATGGAGAGGCTGTGATAAGTTGGTGAATTCAAGAACACAAGGGGAAACCACACAAATGCTCAAGAACTCGGAGAAGAGGCGGCTGCTCTAAGAAAATACGCTATTTATTGATTTAGGGTAAAAAGTGTGTCTTACAATGCCGCATGTGGGACTTTATAATCAGTCTTTCGGCCTTGACCTTCTAGGGTTGACAGAGACTCAAGAAAAGGAAAAAAAGCTTGCGGAAGACTCTTGTAAAAGTAAATAAAGCAAAATGGAAACATTACTAAAGTTCTCGACTAAATTAAAAGGAAATATAACTAATAGGGACCTTAAGACAAATTCTGCAAAACAAAGAGAGGGAAACTCGTTAGTTTAAAATATAATTAAACCAAACACTCACCTTGGTGTCGTTTTGACACTTAGTCGCTTGTAGCTTCAATGGAGAATATCATGCGAACTCCTTGAGTCATTATTAGTGGTCATTCCACAGCTGGTGTAGACTTGATGCTTGTATCGCCTTGATCTTGATCTTCAAGCTTTAGTTCTTCCTCACTCTGGTCCTTTTCTTGTATGAATAGCATCTTGTCCTCCGTTAAACTCATTGCTACTTGGTTGAGAAGCGGCTGATCGAGGCAGAGCTGATCAATGCCTTTGGTGATGTCTTCCAAGTTGCTTTGGTTGATCAGGGTGTCCATGACATTGTTGAACTCTTCTCTGAGCTTTTGTAGTCCTGATCTTGTCTTTGGAGGATTCTTCATGGTAGGAAAAATATCTTTAGGGACCATGTCCTCATCACCTGTCCCAGTATCTAGGAAACCAGGCCAGGTATGAGTAGACCTTTTAGGCGGGAACACTATTCAAATTTCCCTCCATTTGACAAAAGGGATGTGCTTTAGTCTGATATGATTACCCATACCCTTAAAAACCCATGAGATTGGCATTTAATGCATCTTCCTTACGTATGTCAGGTGACAATGACTTTTCGCAGGAGCCAGGAGGAAAAGCAGAGGTTCTGCAAAGACCCATACTGCGTCTGAACCGCTCATCCGACTCTTACACCGAAGCCGAAAAGGATGCGCCAAAGAACGGTTTGGCAGCAGGCCAAATACGCCAAGGAAAATTGGTGAGACTGTCAAAAGCATTACGCCATCTCAAGATTCGAACCCAGTCAAGACAGGTCGTGGGTAGACTCACCCGACTCAAGCATCACGCTCTTCATCGAAAAGGCATCATGCGCCTCATATTAAAAGGGTAACTCAGGCAATGCGTTCTTCATCGAAAAAGTGTTACGCGCTTCAGGCGGATGACCAGTCAGGTACGGCTAATGAGGGGGAAAGCGTTTGTTCCCGGCAAGGATAACATCCACATCATGGGCTAGATTGTTGGGGATAAGGTCAATCCTTTCTACATGGACGAATTGTGTGCTTGCACACTTCGACCGTGGCTTTTTTGCAGGTACGGTCCCCCTGAGCCAAATTAGGACACGTATTGGGCCTCCGATCCAATACGGCCTAAGCTTATAGCACCGGGCCTCAAATTCATTCGGATTCAGGAGATCCGACACATCCAACACAATAGCCCTCTTATCCTGGACTCCTCATGTCTGATAGTGCAGGCCATGCAGTCAGAAACAAGAAATTCAAAAATTGTGTGGTCAAGAGGAGGATATGCCACATTCTCTATATTCTAGACCTAAGCTCGTGATCCGGAAGGGTCGAGATATAAAGAAATGTTGTCCGCATAGGTACATGGAGAGCGAAGTCATCCATTCTCGGCAGCCCGGTCCCAGTATTAAGGGAACCAGGCCAGGTATGCGTAGACTTTTTAGGCGGGAACGCTATTCAAATTTCCCTACATTTGACAAAAGGGATGTGCTTTAGTCTGATTTGATTACCCATACCCTTACAAACCCATGAGATTGGCATTTAATGCATCTTCCTTACGTAAGTCAGGTGACAATGACTTTTCGCAGGAGCCAGGAGGAAAAGCAGAGGTTCTGCAAAGACCCATACCGCGTCTGAACCGCTCATCCGACTCTTACACCGAAGACGAAAGGGATGCGCCAAAGAACAGTCTTCAGCAGGAAAAATACGCCAAGGAAAGTTGGTGAGACTGTCAGAAGCATGACGCCATCTCAAGATTCGAACCCGACAGGTCATGGGCCGACTCACCCGACTCACTATCGACGGATTGACCGGAATACTAACCCGGGTCAGGTAACTCCCTACAAATACTTTTCCGTTTTCCATGAGAAAGGGGTTTACATTTTTAGCCATCTTAAGTTTCACAATATCTCTTTAGATACTCATGGTTCTTAAGTTCCGGCATTCAACACTCTTCCGACCATCTTTCCGGTCATTCCTCTTCACATCACCTCCACGGCGGTTTCTAAACCGTAGAGTACTTTCACCCATAAACTCCTCCTTTCTTCTCTTTCCACTGCTAAAAGCCCATTTCCTCCCAATGGCCTGGGTAGATCGTACCTTTTCTAAGGACTCTCATCCCACTTCTTTTACTCGTTTTCTGACTTTTTTCTGCTCTCCCATTAGCTAATTGATGGTCTTTTAGAGCTGTTTTTTTTATTTGAGCGTCGTAGACACTTCAGAAAACACACCCCCATCATGTTTTTCAGACTTTTATGTATTTTCTGTTTTGCAGGAGACTTGACCCTACTCGAAAACCAAAAATCCCCTAAACTGATATTATTATAAAACCAATGAAAAATATTACAAAGTAATTAAATGTTATTTAATAAAGAAAATATTAACACAAAAATAAAATACTATTTATTACTTTTTCAAATCAAGAAAATAAGTTATTTCATCATTTCAGTTATAGCTTCAATATATATGTTTTCTGTTAAAAAAAGTAATAAAGTTAAAAGTTATTTTCTTTCTTTAAATAGCTTAACCAATACAAATTTCTGATTTAATCAACTAAATTAAAAAAACAAACTAATAAATATGACTTTTATTTTCAGATTCATGACAATTTTAATTTTGAAACCAACATAATATTGAAAATAATTAAAACTCACAAACAATCGATGAATTAATATATTTTGTTATCAGATTTTTTTTGAAGAGGTAAAGACATAACTTTTGTCTAGTATCATGTTGT